CGTTAAGGGGATATAAAAGTGGCATCTGAAGAGTCAATCGTTCATGTCACTTATCTCCGAACTGGGTGTGCTAAATCGTTTCAAACATAACAAAGTGAATATGGGCGCTATAAGGAAGGTCCTAACCCTGATGAAATTTCATGTTTTATAAGAAATTTTAAAAATACCGGCGAACAAATTTAAAAATAATTGAAATTTCATGAGTTCCAGGACCTTCTTTATAGTCTCCATATTCAAATTGTAAAGTTTAAAATCCAGTAAATCCAGCCGAGAGAAAAGTTCCATGAACAAAACTTCCTCGACACCACTTTCACATCACCTTAATTGGTGCATTCTTATTCGACATTCAAAGCCGCTATATTCCCTTTCAATAGAAACCTAGTTCCTTCCGGTCAATCAACTTTTTCATTACAGGCGTATCGAGAATGAATAAGAATCCACTCTAATAATAATTCAACGCATGACAGTACAGTGAATATGGGCGCTATAAGGAAGGTCCTAACCCTGATGAAATTTCATGTTTTATAAGAAATTTTAAAAATACCTGCGAACAAATTTAAAAATAATTGAAATTTCATGAGTTCCAGGACCTTCTTTATAGTCTCCATATTCAAATTGTAAAGTTTAAAATCCAGTAAATCCAGCCGAGAGAAAAGTTCCATGAACAAAACTTCCTCGACACCACTTTCACATCACCTTAATTGGTGCATTCTTATTCGACATTCAAAGCCGCTATATTCCCTTTCAATAGAAACCTAGTTCCTTCCGGTCAATCAACTTTTTCATTACAGGCGTATCGAGAATGAATAAGAATCCACTCTAATAATAATTCAACGCATGCCAGGCGGTTTACGAGCGGAAAAATAAAAGGTCGCAATTCGCTTGTTTCCCGCTAAATAACGGCAACGCTTCGGTGGAAGTGATCCTGGCACCGTGGAACGCCTAAGAGAGGTCCCTCACGGTGGAAATAAAGAGGAGTCGTAACGCAATAGTAAATAGTGGCCATAAGTTGTGCAAGCACTTCCAGGGGGCCCTCGGCTATTCGATTTTGACAAGGTGTGACGCTCCGTGAGCACGTGCCGACGTTAACCGATGCGGTAACGTCAGAAATGTCTGTCGGGATGAGTCCTTAACAATGCTCGTCAGTTGCAGAGATTGACGACGATCCCTCCCGAAGCCAGGAGCCACCTTCGGCTCCAAAGACGGGGTTGTAGTTCATGGTCAAAAGTACCGAAGGGTGAAATCATCGTAAAAATACCACCGAGAACGATATTGCGTTCCAAATAAAAATCACCTGTTCGGATAAAGTTGGGTAAATTGTATCGGGTTTACAAAAATGCTAATAGAACTGCCATTAGCGGAGGATTTTAACGAATGAACTCTTATTTCACTTATCTGTGAATTTCGGAATGCAATGTACACACAAGTACACAAATGCCACTTACAATAAAATAAAATATCCAGTAGAATGGTATGGTTTAAACAGTGTAGATGGGAAATTGTACTATTGCACCTTCCTATTAAAAACTGGTCGGATAATTAGCACCACACATAAGTAAGGGGATCGAAACAAATTTTGAATATTTAAGTAACTTCAAGAAAAAAGAATTGATTACGTATATCATATTATATTGCAAAAAACATATTGTTTATTAAAATCTTTCGTTCTTGCTATTGATGTAGATTCAAACTGACATGGACTAACAGTGAAGTGCTTCTTCGGAAAAGAATTATGCCTATCTTTTTCTCCCATCTGCTTTTAACGATTAAAATTATGTCGAAGTCCATTTCTTTCGGACATTGATACACTAATTTTCATATCGGTACTGGTACGATTAACCCAACTACGCTGTGATACAATATTTCCAACCGGAAGTTGTTTTTAATGTTAAAACCCTTGAATCAACTATTTTAGGTTATGTAAAAAGTTATACAAGTTATGTAAACAGTTATGCAAAAGTTATGCAGTCATGCATGAAACGGTAAAATTAATTACACGTTAACAAACTAAACGTGAATTATGTGCATACGTTATGGTATTAAATAAAGATGAAAAGAAAGCTTGTAACGTAATTAATTTTTCAGAAAATTAGTTATAAGGAAAAGGATGTTCTCTTGATGACTGTGCAAAAACAGCAGTAAAAATTACCCTTAAGATTCCTGTTCGCATGATAGGACGTAAATCATTTACGAACATTACCTGCATAATCAAACATCATGCAGGTCTCCGTGATAAAGTTCTAAATGATGAGACTAGCAAATGAGCTCGAATGTATTTATGTCAGATATAGGTGACTGCTTCAGGATTCTGGAGGAGCTCGCTTCGAAGCTTAAGGGTAAAAAGTGCGCAAGTATAAAAAGTATCCGGACTAATGCAACGGTCCCATTATGCAAGTAGGCGCGTATCTTGGGTCGCATTCGTAAATGTCGCTTCATAAATATATTTAGCAATATATAAGGCGAGGGTCGCCTTGCTTTCGGTAAGTTTGTCACTCCTGGCAACGACTTTACTTCGCAAAGCTGGGAAATTTAATCGTCCCGGTGGACTAATTTGCACCTGCACATGTAGTGCAAATATCTATGCAAAATACAAAACCTTGTGCAAGTGCGAATACTTATAGGAATACGTACATTTATAGTCAATATGATCGAGAAAGTAAAATAATTTACCCACTGAAAGTAGTTTGATATCAATAAGGAAATGCTCAGCAGATATGTCATAAATGACAAAATAGAGAATAAATGATAACGGAGTGGAACAATTTTCATTTTTTAATGTCGTTGATTAAATATGTATGCTCTTACGATCGAAATCAGAAGACTCACAAAAATGCAGTATTTCACATCATTTTAAGAAATATTCCAACATGCTAACAATAAGTTTAATTTTATGCAGCATTAATTTGCCTCGATTCATCCCGAGATATCAGGTAAGAACGATGAATAATTCTACTATGTTTCTTTAATATATGGAGGGGGGGCAATATATTTCATGATAAAATACATAAGCACAATGCGCTTTCACGACCTCGCACACAAAAGACACGACCATACTATCAATATCTCAAAACCGAAAAGTAAAAGCACTTTTACGAAACGTCTGTATATAAGCTCGAATACGAGCCGAAATCCGAGCCGATGAAAAATAAAGGAACGCAGAAAGGATGAAAGATGCTGATGAGTATCTGCAAAAAGCACCATAAACGGCACTTGGTGAACCTGTCGCGCAGTCAACTGTCAAATAAAGTTGTGCCACTCGTTGGCGAGCCGTTAAAACAAAGTACGAGAGAGAAAAACTCCACGTCCGAACGTTTCTCCTCTCCTTTCTTCTCAGATTTCGGTTATCAGTGACTTCATTTCGGTTTCTCTCGCCGTCTCGAAATCGATAGATAAAAATGAGCATTTCTGTAAAGGTGTGCGCAAGGGAGATTTCAGTTGGCGAAGAACAAAAAAGAGAGAAGACAAAAGATAACGATGGCTCCCCGGAGAAAGGAGGATAAACGGCGAACCGGCGAACCTGTCGCATAATCCGCTATCAAGTCGGGCCGTGGCACTCGTTAGTGGGCAGAAAGAGGGAGACGCAAAGGAAGAGAGGTTTAGAGAGAGAGAGAGAGGGACCAGCAACAAGTGGTGTCACAGAATGTCCACGGTGGACGAGTGTCGCTACATCCTACGACCGACGACTGCTCCTCTTTTCGTTCTCCTTCTTCTCGGGTTTCGGTAGCCGGCCATTCTTTTTCGGCCAGTGCCAAAACGCGAGACTTAGGTTATAGGCCAGACTCGACTCGAATTACAAAGCTTTACTCCACTCGGGACGCGCACCTTCGCCGAGTCAAGAAATCAATGGACTACCCTTTACGGAAGAACTCCTCGAAGAGGCTCCACGAATCGGCCAAACTTCGCTGTCGACGTGACTTATGACACTTAATTTAAGGAATTAACTAAAAAATGTCTGCTCTTTCCTCGCAGATTGACAAGAAGTAAAAATTATATTGCCTTGCTGTTTGACAATTTTTGTTAAGCATGTTATTAACTATCAAAATAGGTTATAATAATGGAAATATAGGTAATATGGCGGTGCGGTAAATTCATAGTACTCTTCATACTTTATAGACGATTAACTGGTGTGCACTCTTGCACTATCTATATAGCAGTAACTAAAACGGAAGGGAAAAAATTCTATCGATAATTGTACAATATTTTTAAGCATTGATGTAGCCGTTTCCAAATTTCTTACATATTGACGGAGAAACAAACTATGTCATAATTAGTTTTCGCTTTCGACAAAAAATGGTCACTTAATTCTTTGTATTTGACAAAATAATAGTAACATTTAAAAAAGCGTCCGTTAGCGCGATCTAATGTCATCTGTAACTATATATTATTTACCGTCATTGGATAATTTCGGCTCGAGAAAACTTGCACACCGTTTTGAAAAATGTTGTATGAAGGAAAATGTACTTTTCAAATTTGGTAACACAATAATTTTATTCCGATTTCGGTTGTCTTCCTGTTAATCTGCTATAATAATATTCATAAATCAGGCCCTCCGTTTCAAGTTGCAGCATTATTTATATTTTCTTTAAAATTGACAGGGACTAACCCCTTAAATGATCTCGTATCAAAAAGTACATCCAAGTCAATGCGTCCTTTTCAGAGTCAACGATGTTTCCCTCGCTTCTACAACGACTGTGACTATTCGTTCTCGACATCTCTATTCCGTGCAGCATTATTTATATTTTCCTTAAATTTTACAGAGTACTAAACCCTTAAATAATCTTGTCTCAAAAAGTACATCCAAATCAATGCGTCATTTTCAGAGTTAGCAATGTTTCCCTCCCTCCTACAACAACTGTGACTATCTGTTCTCGACATCTCTATTCCGAGCCCCCCAACAGATCCGGTCTTTTAGTCAGCTTTGAGAGGCGATATCGCGACGTGTCATCGGCGCGGCCAAGATGATCGATAATAGATCAATCGATCGATCGAGTTTCTCTCACCTGGTTTGCCGGGGTCCCTGGATCTGCCCGAGTATCAGGAGGGCTATCGCGGTCACCGCGATGTCACCACGACGCATCTCTTACATCACAATCACCTTGATCACTGATTTCATCCAAAGTTTCTCAACGACGATCATCGGTCGCGATCGAACCCGATCGTTTCGTCGTTCGCGACGTCGTCGGTGTTTCGGGAACACGATTTAATTAACAAGTCCTTTCGCCGCTGCGGCCGGTCGTAAGATCAGCTGATCGACGAAGAACTCTTCGTCCTATAGTTTTCACGATTACTTCTGGAAACGAGGATGACATGTCGATGTGCAAGTCTCGTTCGACGACTCGTCCTTTGGGAGATGTTTCAGTTTCTTGAACCTTGGACAAGGCCGGGTACCTTAGAAAGTACAGACGACCTGGGTTAAGGATCATTGGCGATGATTTCAGCATCCTCCAGTTTAACGCTAAACCTACCACGGCCAGCCAAATAACCATTTTTAAATGGTATTAGAAATGAGGCTATTGATTGTCAATAGGTTTAGTGTAAGAACGTTCGAAAACAACTTTTCACCTCGTGAATTTCCACGGGTTCCAGTTTCTCACTATTCCTTTTCCGTATAGTACACAGCCTGTCAAATGACAATTTCCTTAATGAGTAAACGAGCCACCTGAGCTAGATATGCACGTCTTGGTTACAATTTCCAAGCGTGGACATTAAAAAAATAGTGAAGAACCGAGATATTGATAAACTTGGAAAGTGAAAAGTAAATTTCGAATCTTCATAAATAAGGCTTGAATTTATGCTGACCCCTTCGAGATCGAGACGATAGAGATTATGTTACAAACGAAATCCTTGATAAACATAAATGATTCTACTTTGTTGGACGGCAATCAAACAGTTTTACCTACTCACGACACGAATTGTCTTCTAACGGTCGCATATCGTCGCGAAGAAAAAAAATGTCAAGTCCGATATCCCTTTTTGAAAATGTTTTCAAAGTTCTGAGTTCATGGGACGAGCTCCTACCACTTCTTTGGAATGCCTTTCAAAGTCCGAGGCTTCAATCTTAAGAAATTCCGATTTATACAGGAAACCTCGCTCGTCAATACCTGCATCGATAATTAAAAGATGATTTCTTAACCTTTGGTAAGACATCGGGAAACTGGTAGAAAGTTCACCTAAATCAAGGGACACGATTATCCAGAAGGTATCGAATCGCCTATCCTAATGAGTGGATACCGGCGACGCCGACGAGCACCTGTAAGGTATACGGCTCGGTTTAGCCCATTAGCGAATGGGAACTAATGAAAAAGATAACAGAATGCCGTCTCTATCGATCCACATAATTTATGGCAATACGCCAGAACAGATCGCGGAATGTTGATACGCTCGGGGAATTAAACGAGCGACCGAGCGATCAGCCCCTCGCGGTATTTCGCTGAATTCATGGACTCTGTTTCCTTTGGAACGTTTCTCGGAATATCGATTCCATCTCCGATTGCGGATATTTCGAATTCACGGTGATCTAGGAAGGCGGTTCAACGAACGGAGTGGATTAAATGTCGGCACTCTTCGAGGACTTGTCAAAAAGGGTTCCTTATAGGTTTCGAAACGGACGTTTGTTACCAGGCGAAATTAAACACTTTAATTTCTCGCTGTTCTTGGAAAGCAGATGAAAAGAAAAAAGTTGCCCGAAACTTTGATACGTGAGTATCTGAACTGAAGAAAATAGTTCTTAAGTGATATCATTGCATTTTAATTCAAGGAAACTAGAGAAAAAGTTTCTCTTTAACGAAATCGTCATCTAAGGATAAATGTAACGTTATATGTAAAGCAATTTGTAACGTAATCGATCCAAAAACTGACAATCCTGTCTAGTGTTAATTTACTCGTATCACGATTTCAATTCCGTGTACTAATTGAACTTAGAAAATAATAAGGATCTAATTTAAAAGGTAGATACACAGGGTACCAAATTGTAATATCAATAATAGATGATATTTGCTGATTTAGTCAAAGCTCTTGAAATGATTAGCAATCAAATTAGGTATGCGAAATCTTAAGCGTTTCTTCTCTCCCGGTGGAAAAAAAAAACCTAGAGAGTTGCTACCTTTCAATTAAAGACGAATTCAATTAATTAATAAGACCCCGAGCTCATTAAATTCTTACTTCTTCGCAAGATCCCTAATTGGACCACCTACTGCGATTAGCCTTAAAATTTGTCCAAGAATTCCTCGAAAGTAATCCCGAATATTTAAAATTAGTTCCTCTCAAGATTAGATCTCATCTCACGGTGATCGATTTCGAATCTCGTTCGGTGCCTCCAACCATCGGCACAAAAAAAAAGATCTACACCTCGAAGACCACGTATTCGTTCACTAGCAATATTTTTATTCATTCTACCATGAGTCAAACGCGAACTTCTTCCAGGTCAACCGATTCGACGACCGTCCAACCTCTGCCGAACGAATCCCTATCGCCGTCGATCTCTCAATCGTAATTTAGGCGATTCGTGAAAGTCACCTCGCGGATTCGAGGATCCTTAACGACATCATTAAGAGAATTAACACTTTCGTCGACTGCGAGGCATTAAAGCCTCCTAAGTGTCCGAAACCCGTCATGGATTCTCCCTTGGTTAGCGGGCAAAAAGTCGACTACATCGTTAAGGCGTTTTAAAGTAACTTCAAAGGACCCAATCGATCAGCCCGGTCCAACTTTGGCTGATCGAGGACCCATCGAATACGACCAATCCACGATATCGTTAAGGGCCTCGATGATCCACGAATAAAACTTCAAACTTCTCGGTCAACGAATAAAACTTCAAATGCATGCTCTCGAGCGAGTCCCTTCGGGGAATCCCTACCAGGGTATAGTCCTGCCGCTGGACTTCATCCTCGAGTTCACGACTTCTCCCGATCCTCAATCACGGAACGACCTTAATCCCGTCATCCGCCACCTCGAAGCGTTCTCATCGGACTCGACCCCCTCGTCCATGTCTAAGTGATAACTATCGATCCGGCCGGCGATCGGCTCTCACCACCGTGAAAAAAGCTCCTCCATTTCTCCGCCAAGTCCCCTCCTTTTACCTCCTCCACTAAAGCACCAGGCTCCCCTCGGGGTGGGAACCTCGGTTCCTCCTCCACTTCAGGGAAATCACCATCAGGATGGGAGCCTCCTTTGCGCCTCCTTCCGCGCTTTGGCCACCCCGAACTTCCCCTTTTCGCGTATGCTCGACCACTCGTTGAAGTTTCCGGGAATAACCCGCACGATTCTGGGGGAACTTTCCGAGAAGTGTCGATGTCTTCTTCGAACAGGAGACGTTTTCTCCGGAACCCTTTTCTGAAGATCGGATCAATTTATTCTTGGTCCAAGGCAGGGTGTTTTAACGTTTGGTCCGTGCCGAGGCTGGGGGTATCGACACTTTCGCTTTCTTAGAGATCGGGGTATTTCGTCCCTCTACAATATTAAACTCTAGAAGCTTCTTTTGGTTTACTAGAGAGCCACGAAAAAGTGGAACTATCAGTGGGTTATTTTACGCGATTTCTTGTTCGAGTTCCATTTGGAAATTGCATCCGGTCTTTGACTCTCAACTCCGAAGTCACAAATCAACACTTAAAGGTCTTCGTTAAAAGCTGACTGACAAAACTGACAATGTCTGACAGTTTGCAAAATTATAGAGTCAACGCCCCCCATCAACCCACTTCGGAGGATTTTTGGATCGATGATGATAGCCTCAATAGCCAGAGGAAGCAGAAAGTTCCTCTAGAGCCATTCAATCGGCACAAAAAGTAGACCCCGGCACTAATCAAGTTTTTCCACCGAATCTTTCTCGTAATTTATTCCAAAGTTCTCAGATCATAATTCAGGTCACAACAGTTCCGCGCCGTCAAAAGACCGCCCCCAAGTCCTCCCCATCCCCATCGCTCGTTAACACTCGCAGGATGCTTTCCTGCACCACCTGCTAATCGGAAATCACCCCTTGGCACGACAACCCCCGTCCTGATTAATTTTACAATCAGAAGGTTGGACATCCACTCGATCACCCCTCCAGCTTCCTGATATCGGTTCAGAGATCCAAGCGAGCACGTTAAACACCCTCCACCCACCGATATCGCGATATCACTTGGCTTTTAGATTCCGTCCTACCCCCGCTCGTTATCAACCGCGAGGCACTTGCCCGTTCCACCTCCAACCCTCCGAAAAACGACCCCCTTTCTTTGGATTAAGGCATCCCAACTTCCACCTGATTCGGGAAGCAGGGAATACCGATTCCTCCGGTACCTCACTCGAACTGTCGCGTAGCCTTTAAATTTCGGTCTCACGAGACGTCGACCATCCGAAGGCCCCTTAGCACCGGGGCACCCTGAGCACCCCTCGACCGCCAGTGGCACGAGGAGGCGTCCACCGGGTGCGTTCCCCGGCGGCGGGCTTTGGGCTAGGATCAAGCCGGACTCGTCGCATGGGGATTTGAACGAGCGGGCAGGAAGGTAGCGCCGCGTTCGGACGAGAGGAGGGCCCGCGATGGACTGGTCTCCCCAGGCCAAGAGCTCTCCTACCTTTGGGATCAGGTCCCAGCCTCTACGATGTTACCTCTACGATCCGACCTCTCCTGGCCGGCGTCGCGCGGTCTCTCTCGCACCCCCCGCGGGCCGCCTCGCTCCTTCTCGCTCCCTCTCGCTCCCGCGGCCGCTCTCATCTCCGCTACCTCCGTTTCTCCGTCCCTCGTTCTCTCTCGCACTCCCGGCTCGCTCCCTTTGCTCTCTCTCTCCCGATCGCCACCGTTTCCTCTCTCTCGCCCTCGAGCCTCGTCTCGCTCCCTCTCGTTACCTCCGGTGCGCTTTTCGCCTCGCTTTGCTTTACTTTTGAGTTACCTGCGAGCTCGCGGCCCTCCCTGCCAACCCGCTACGTCTATATCTCGCGGGCGCGACTCTCGGTGGGCCGGAGCTCTCCGAGGGGGGCTCGAATTTCGGAATCCTGCGCTTCTACCCCTTTCTTTCCTCTGCTGGCCAAATCGCTCTTTATCGGGAGCTTCTCGCACCCCTTTAAATAACGGCTTCGTTTCCTCCGAAGTCAACTAGGACCTTGGAAACCATGAATCCAGGGGATTTCTGAAGTTTTACTTCTTTATAATTATTGTACGGAAACGACAGATGGAGTATATCATTTAGCACGATACTCAATATAACTCAACACGCCTATCAACGCAAAAACGAACGACGGCAAGTATTTAGAAAAACCTGTTTTACCGACGTCGAACA